AAACCTTTCCTTCTCGGAGTTCAAACCTAGACAACATCAAACCTTTCCTTCTCAGAGTTCAAACCTAGACAACATCAACTCTATCTTTCTCGGAGTTCAAACCTAAACAATATTAAACCTTTCCTTCTCGGAGTTCAAACCTAGACAATATCAAACCTTTCCTTCTCAGAGTTCAAACCTAGACAACATCAACTCTATCTTTCTCGGAGTTCAAACCTAAACAATATTAAACCTTTCCTTCTCGGAGTTCAAACCTAGACAATATCAAACCTTTCCTTCTCAGAGTTCAAACCTAGACAATATCAAACCTTTCCTTCTTGGAGTTCAAACCTAGACAACATCAAACCTTTTCTTCTCGGAGTTCAAACCTAGACAATATCAAACCTTTCTTTTTCGGAGTTCAAACCTAGACAATATTCAACCTTTCCTTCTCGGAGTTTAAACCTAGACAATATCAAACCTTTCTCATAAATCAAACCTAGACAATATCAAACCTTTCCTTCTTGGAGTTTAAACCTAGACAACATCAAACCTTTCTTTCTCGGAGTTCAAACCTAGACAACATCAAACCTTTCCTTCTTGGAGTTTAAACCTAGACAACATCAAACCTTTCCTTCTCGGAGTTCAAACCTAGACAATATCAAACCTTTCTCATAAATCAAACCTAGACAATATTAAATCTTCCTTAGAGTTCAAATCATAGACAAAATCAAATCTTTCCTTGTTTTTTATTAATCAACTGTTGAATCTTTAAAATGCTATATTAATAGTTTCTAAACTTTTAAAGAAATTTTAATAGAATTATCAAATTTAAAATTCTAATTAATAAATTGTTTAGTACAAAACAGTGTTTACCCAATAATTTCCAGGCTAGAATCCACCAGTTCAGATATGCTGAAAAAAAATGTAAATTTTTTATTCTTATTTGAAATATTAAAAACGAACAAAAGACTGGAAGATTTCATCAGACTATAGAAGAAGTTTTGGTTGTATCTTTGTGTACACAAAGTTAGTCCCATAAAATAGTTGCTATGAAGACGATATATTTAATCAAACGAATGTGTTTTTAATGTTTATGTAATACAAAATAGTTTACCAGTTGTTTAAAATTAAACTTAATGATCGAATAGAATTTGTTCCAACTAATTACACATTTGTTGTAATTCATATTCTTTGGGAGAATTAAATTATAAAAATCACGTTTCCACAGATTTCTGTGTCTTGCAATTTATTTACTGTATTTCCACAATGTTAATCATTAAAATATTTCATGCAGTATATCGTTTACTGTATGTAAACAATAATTGTTTACTAAACATACGCTGAACTTCGTAATAGACAAATAAACCAGAAATAAACTTCCTTTTCAAATCAGAGATACTTATGATGAAGTCCGGATTTGTAAAAGGTTTGTAAAAGTATACTGTTAGCGAAATTTCAAGTGACCCTCAATGCAAAGAGGGGTAATGCCGTTTTACAATGCTACTCGTCGCTGTGTTGGGTTCAGACTGGACTCACACTATAGTTTCAGTAGAAGTAAATATTTCCATTTACTGATAGCGCCGATTGAAGGATTCATATCTCTAATTGGATAATGAGATAGATAGAAAGTTAGATGTTACCGCCACACTATTTCTATTGGTTCAGAATAGACAACAAACACATGACTGAACCCTGATTGGATCAGGCGCTAATGGACTCGGCATACAGGAGTGCTCAGTAGACCCTGGAGTTTTCAGCTGAAAATACAACGGATTTCGATACGTTTACACAAATATCTCTGTACTCTAAGCTAAGAGTACCGTTGTAAATCGGGCATTGCCATGTTTGAATGGAGGGTCACTTGAAATCACGCTTACAGTCCCTTTAAGGGATTAGGAAACCCCCAAAAAACACTTTCTTGTCATATTTTCGATTGTTTTGAGTTTTCAACTAATAAATGCATCTTTATACTTTTGTTCAAGAAAAGTTTAGATTTTCAAAAATTATGCTCATTATGTGTAAGTGACCGTTTCTGAACAGCTTTCTTGTAAAGAAAACAGGCCAAATTAAGTTAAAACATTTTAAATTTGTTGTTTATTTTGAAGATGCAGGAATAAAACTAAATGTAAAGACTTCAAGGTTGTTTGAGGTAAACATTATCTCTATTCTAGAAGCATCTAAGATTCAGGTCAATTATGAACTATTCAAAATATAGCAAAAAGGAAAATAAGGAAAACTGACCTAAGAACCCTGTTCCCTTGTCCAGGTAGAAAACTACAGCTCTTCTTTTCTCCTTATTATCTTGTTTATATTCAACCTTCAAGGTGTTTAGTACGTCATCCTTAGCATCAGCAAGGTCGTCATCCCTTTATAATAACTCTTCTGCTTTTTACAGGGTTAACCACAAATAATGAAAATGTGAAGACGATCTCAAACTATTATGATTTACAGGTTTTATTAAGCCTCCTGGCTTTAATATACTCATTTCATTGCTTGCAGGGAATCGTGAATATATGGAGACAGACGAAATAAATTTCGTATAGTCCTTTTAAAGTCGCGTGGATAATCCTTTAACAAACATATAAAATAATAATTAAAAAATGGAATTCTCTAATTGAATAGCATGTCAAAAGGATTTACGCTGTTACAATTTAATATTTGAATCTTCAGAGACGACTGTACGGAAATTATTCTGCTCTTTCCATTATATTCATGATTTTCCTTGCAACTGTAAACTTGTTTCTTTCTTTAGCAAATCATTAAATAAGCCATTAAAAGACTGTGTTCAATTCAGAAGACTTAATGTAATCTTTGGAGTGTCATATTATAAAAGTTTCGGATGTCTTTGAATTGAACTGGTTAAAAATCACAAGCTTTCAAGTTGTGTTTAGTTAAATACTGCTATAACATTTTGCGGAAGCACTCATGCTATTGTAATATCATTTAGAAAAAAAAACAAATATCTCAAAGATCTTCTTAAACACGTAAGATCATAAATAATTTTGTTAAAAGCCTTCAAATCGGAAAGAAACCTTCAAAGAAAAATTGTAAAACCGAAAAAAATGTTTTTTTTTTAAGTGCTTGATTTCCACTGATTCGTGAAGGGTGGTTATTTGATTGTCATTCAGATATAACATTACAAATAAACTATTTCTAATTAGTAACCTGAGTTTCTTCTGCCTATTCTTGTAATCATCTATATCCAGGGGCCATAGTTTATATTCGTCCAGTTTGCTGTCATAATCAACTAATCCAAACTCAAACCTAGACATAGTTTATATTCGTTCAGTTTGCTGTCATAATCAACTAATCCAAACTTAAACCTAGACATAGTTTATATTCGTCTAGTTTGCTGTCATAATCAACTAATCCAAACTCAAACCTAGACATAGTTTAAATTCGTTCAGTTTGCTGTCATAATCAACTAATCCAAACTCAAACCTATAGACATAGTTTATATTCGTTAAGTTTGCGTGCTGTCATAATCAACTAATCCAAACTCAAACCTAGGCATAGTTTATATTCGTCCTGTTTTCTGTCATAATCAACTAATCCAAACTCAAACCTAGACATAGTTTATATTCGTCCAGTTTTCTGTCATAATCAACTAATCCAAACTCAAACCTATAGACATAGTTTATATTCGTCCAGTTTGCTGTCATAATCAACTAATCCAAACTCAAACCTAGACATAGTTTATATTCGTCCAGTTTTCTGTCATAATCAACTAATCCAAACTCAAACCTAGACATAGTTTATATTCGTCCAGTTTGCTGTCGTAATCAACTAATCCAAACTCAAACCTAGGCATAGTTTATATTCGTCCTGTTTTCTGTCATAATCAACTAATCCAAACTCAAACCTACAGACATAGTTTATATTCGTCCAGTTTGCTGTCATAATTAACTAATCCAAACTCAAACCTATAAACATAGTTTATATTCGTCCAGTTTGCTGTCATAATCAACTAATTCAAACTCAAACCTAGACATAGTTTATATTCGTCCTGTTTTCTGTCATAATTAACTAATCCAATGATTTGGATTAGTTAATTAGTTATGATTTTCCCCTCAGTGTTTGAATAAGGGAATGAGCTAAGTTTTTCAAGGGAGGTCTAAAAAAAGTACAAAAAGTTCGTCGGAAAAATGTTAAAAATATTAATTTTTACGTTTGACAAATATTAACATGTGACAAATGTTCCTACCTCTATTATAAATGGCTTAAAAATAAATTAATTTTAGATCTGTAGCTTAATCAATTAAAAAGTTATAGACTATTATAGATTATACTTTGATACACAGACCAGCCGTTTGACTCTCCTCCACCAAAATATGAAGTGAGAAGTTTGCGCGTTTAAAGCCGTTTTTTGAGAGGGGGTTGGAGTGAAAAATCTCACCTTTGCTCTGCTAGGGAGGAATTGCAGTGTGTGAGTAGAACATAGTTTCCATTAGCTGACCCTCGGCTAGTCAAACATCCTCCTGCATGGGACAATCAATCAATCAATCAATCAATAAATCAATAAATAAATCAATCTACCATGATGTCTATAATCTAGACAGCATTTCAATTTACTAGAAAGGGGAAAAGATCTACGAATTCTTTTGTTTTTTTTTCTATAAAAAATCTTAAAAATTGATAGTTTAAAAATTATCTATTTGACGTAAAAACTAGATTATAAATAAAATAGTCTAATGCTATACCTTCACTCCATTCTAGCTGCCCAGTTGTCTTGTACTCCCATCTTTCATCTTTAACAGTATATTTTTAATAGTATATTTAATAGTATATTAAATAGTATATTTAATAGTATATTTAATAGTATATTTAATAGTATAGTAAATAGTATATTTAATAGTATAGTTAATAGTATATTTAATAGTATATTTAATAGTATATTTAATAGTATATTTATTAGTATATAAGCGTACTTTAATGTTACCCTGCATTCAAAGAATTCATGTCTTTACCCTTAAACCCTTAATCCGTTTTAACTGAACAGTTTTTCAGTTTTTCAAGTCTTTCTAGTTTTATAGTTTTATAGTTTTTGTTTTTCTAGTTTTTCTAATTTTTCTAATTTTCTAGTTTTTCTAATTTTTCTAATTTTCTAGTTTTTCAAATTTTTCTAGTTTTTCTAATTTTCTAGTTTGTTTAGTTTTCTAGATTGAAAACTGTTTAATTCTGATTTCATGTATTGCTTCTTATAAAGTTAGCAAGTCACATTTGAAGAGAAACCAAAAATAAAATAACTCAGTTTTGAAAAACAAAATATAAAATTCACATTAAATAGACAAAGCTATTAAGAATAGAGTTGTGAATCTGAAATGACACTTTCTCAAATGTGGCAAATTCAATTAAATTCATCCTATCGAGGACTACAAAAAAGTATAACATTAGAAAAAACGGCCTGGAGACCGTTCAAAGTTGGCCCGGTCTCAAAGCTTGATTGCTGCGAATAAAGCACCTGTTACCTGCTTTTTCATTTTCACAAGATGACGTGATTACTTTGATCTCCTCAGAGAGATCAATAAAAGGAACGGGTTGAAGGCATCTAAAAATATAAAAAAAAAGTTCAAAAAAGAATTTTAAATATAAAAAATTAAAAAGAACTTTGTGCCTAACCTGTCGTTTTCAGCGTTGACTATTTTGAACTTTGAACTCCACAGTTGGATATACCAAGTTGAAGCATGGTGGCTACCAAAAATAATAAAATTAAATCGAGACAAAAATGGGATAAATTTCTTTTTATGGACCTCCCCTCAAGTTTATATACAGGGTGTCCCAATAAACATGGGAATTCAGTGACGAATTCGATATCGTCTTTATAAATAATTCTTTGATTAAGTATATTGATACCTACTGAGAAAGCTGTAATCTGTTAGAGTTTCGTCTGCTTTGTTCACATTTTGTTTGTTTATGTTTTGACTGCATTTGGTTGTACTTAGTAAAACAAGAAAATTGCACTAAACCAACAGAGTAAACAAACAGAGTAAACTTGTCCGTCTTCACTGTTCATCTTGCGGAGACATTATAAACACATCTTTACAGTCTTTTTACCCTTTCAAAAAATAAAATCTAGCAGACATAATAATATTAAGGCTTTTGGAATTAGGTATTACTATGCTAATTCATAACAAAGACGAAATCTAATTCTTCACTGAATTTCCATATTTTTGAGACACCCTGAAGATATGGCCGAGCCTAAAAGTATTTAATCCTTAGTAAAATTGTTTACATTTTCTAGTTTAAAACCAAAACAAAAGTAGAAATTATGATTTAAAACAAATTTTATTTTTCCCTTTTAAACATTAATAAAATCTTAAGTTTAAGTTGTAAAAAGTTAAACTGAAAACAAAACATGTAGAATTTGATCAAACATAAATTTTCGAGTTATCTTTATTATTTTCCTTTTGAGAACACACTCTGATGTTGCTGCCACCCCATTGTAATCCAACATACACTTTCTCCACGGGAAATCATTTGGAACATCAATCTGGAAAGAAATTCAGTCGTCGTTGTATATATTGATACAATGAAGACGACTTTCTATTTAAGTTTTTGATTCTTACCAAACTTTCACGCATAAATGTGAAAATATGAGAAGTTGTCAATTTAAAAAATTATTTGTTTATGCTTAAATTTGTAATTAGAAAAAAAGTCGTCTTCATTGTATTAATAGAAACGTCGAACACTGTAGTAAATTTTTATCCCAGATAACAACATACTACAGTGAAACCCTTAATAACGAATACATCGGAAGAATATAGGATTAGAAAACATAGATTATGTAATCTAACAGAATTCATAGTTTGCAATATCTGGGATCTTCAACATTTGGTTGCGCAGATATAGGATTAGAAAACATAGATTATGTAATCTAACAGAATTCATAGTTTGCAATATCTGGGATCTTCAACATTTTGTTGCGCAGATTAGGATTAGAAAATCAAAGTTTGCAGCAAAGACAAAACTCCTTTGGCAAAAAAAAAATGGAAAATCTGCCATTGAAAATAGGAAATTAGTTTACTTTATGTCAAAATGTGCGAAAAGTTATGAGAGGAGGTAAGTGCCAAAAATGTTGGCGGGTAACGCTTCCATTTTAATTATTTGTTTGCCTACCCATATCCTCAGCTGCAGACTAGCATTGAATTCAGGCTCCTTTTCAATTTTTGACTTAACTTCCGGGATTGGAAGTTTGGGGTCCGAAGTCTTCTCCTCGTGGAACACCGGTTGCGGAACCTTCTCAATCAACTTTTCTAGTTTCTCCATGAGCATCTGGGTCTCCCCAAGCAGTGCGGTCTCCTTTCAAAAAAGTAGACATGAAATTTGATAATTAAAGGAACTACTGCTGTTATTTCAACTGACTTTACATTTTTAAAGAAGAATATCAACCCTGAAATAAATATCTCAACAGATAAAGATCATGCATATAGTTTCAGTAGAAGTAAATATTTACATTTATTGTGATAGCGCCGATATCAGGATTTATCTCTAATTGGATAATGAGATAAATAGACGTTACCGCCATACTATTTCTATTGGTTCAGAATAGGCAA